TCACACAGAGATGTCTCTAGCGGTTCGCCGTATTTTTGGAAAAAGAAATGTGGGACCGAACACGGCCGACGAGGCCGACGAGACAGGTCACGGCACGATTTCTATTCCCTCTCCCCCTCGGTACGTCCCGTTTAGCTGGTTAATCGAAGCGAGGAGGAGAGAAGCGAGACCGCTTCCCCTTATTCTCAAATTCTCCCGAGCGACAATGACATCAGAGACTTCGCGTGATCGCGCCCTTCTTTTCCAAAAGTACGGCCATCCGTTTGAGATTACCGATGTATGAGTCATGTTTTGGCGTTCGTAGCGTCTCGTTCAACGCTTCTGCGGCCTTCCTGTGGCGTACAAGAAGTCTGCGCAGTTCAAAAATAAAGTTTTTGAGGAATTATATAACCTAGTCCTTTCCACTTCCTCATATCAACTCCGCCTTCAAAAAAAATGGTTTGTTTCACCACCACATACATTATATTATAACCACACGCTAAATTATCTATTAACCACTTTATTAAATGAATTATTTTAAAAGGTGTTGATATTCGTGCAATAACGCTGGCAGAGGTACGAGCATTATTTTAGAGATGTTTTCTTAGGTACGGCTAAGGCATACGGATCACTGTACCATTGTATACCACTATGTATGTATTAATTTTATTTTTTATTCTCTTGTTTTTGTTTGATCTGTGGTCTGTAAATTTAAAATGTTGTTCTTTCTTTCAATGTAGCTATATTGCCCATTTTTGAAATTGCTTGGGAATCGCCTGCTGTAAAGGGGGCCAGGACCTGCGTCAAGCTGCTGCAGTAGCTTTTTGTCTTGGTCCGCCGTTTCAGTGATGAAACAAAATAAAGATTCATTATTATTATTATTATTATTTTGCGAAATCCAAATTTATGTTCAGTATCCCTTTAAAAGTACTCAGCAGGGTAAGCTTGGGAAAGGTCACAGAAGAAATCAAAAACGGCAAGAGCCTTATGTTGGTGGTATTTTTTGCTGCAAAAACACAGAAACCAGGAATACCTTTTCGCACAATGGTGTTAGAGCGAGATACCTGGTTTCAGGCGGTTCGGCGTACATACAAAAGCACCTTAACTTACTGCAGATAGATGACACATTTTGCATTCCTAACTTAAAGTCGGTAATTGAATTCCTAACATATAATAATCCAGTAGGATACAGCGCGTTCAGTATTGATGTTAAAGAGTTATATTATGCCCAATGATAAACTCATGAAGAGTTTAAAAGAATGTATTTCAGACCAAAATGATGAAAAAGGTTCAGGACATGAAGCGCAATCCTGGCAGAAGAGTTCCTTGAACTTTTGTTACTTAATCTAAAATTCACATTTATCGGCTGGCAGGACAACGTTTATGTACACAAGAGAGGCGTTTGCATGGGTTCATGGGTGGCCCCTATGCTTCGCAATAATATTCTAGAAACCGTAGGCGGGGCCCTTCAACATAGATTGGTAGGTAATAGAAAACACATTTTCAAGTTTGTAGATGACTACTTGGTCTTCATAGCGAAGGCAGAATTTAGCAGGACGATTGAAGACGCGCTAAGGTCATTCACCAAAGAAGGTTTAAGCCTTCGTTTCAGCTTTGAGTCCCCAAGAAGTACGAAATTAATTTTTTTTTGATTTTCTAGTGGACGTCAATTAAAAACGTGTGTGCTGGATGTTTCAATCTCTAACAACGAATACCTTATTTGAGGTCTTGTGGTTCGAGGTGAGCGTTCACAAAATCCTGCATCCACAAAATGAAAATAAGATTCTCCGCCCGAATTGCGAGGTTCAGAGACTCGAACTTTCCCAACACAGTTATTTGTAATTTTATTTGTTTATTTTGAGAGCCCACAATAACGGCTGAAGCCTACATATTGGTGTCCTTGTTAGCAACAACGTATATTACATAAAAATACAAACTGAAGGGATTAATCATTTCACACACTTTATGAAAACGAGAAAGGAATGTAATATTTACAAAGCATAAACATGCCAGTACACAAAGCAAGCACTTCTTGAATTGAGGTAACTTATGGTTGAAAATGGCATTATCATCTGATTCCAGATGGTTGAAATAGTTTTGCAGTTGGCCTGAGGGTGACGTGAAATCAGTATAATGGACATAAAATGTGCGATTAAAACGAACATTTCTGCCAGGTATATATTAGTTAATAGTTGAAACCAGGGAGCTAATTTTGTAATACGAATGTATGCATTTAAACAAGAATACATCTCATCTGGATGTAAGAAACTAATCCGTAACATCAAAGGGGGTCCCCCCCAAAACAGCAAACATATAAAGCAAAGAAAGACAAAGGAATGCAGCAGTCATACTATATATTCACCGCGTTTCTCATCGGATAAAGGGAGCAGTGTCCACAACAGCTCTGCCATTGTGCGCACAAACCAATTATAGTAGGTTATGAGGCCCAGGAACTAGCGTAGTTCGCTGAAGCTCGTTGGTGCTGGTGCATCCCTGAGCGCCTCCAGACCCTTGCCAGTGGGATGTAGCCCCTTACTGTCAATCCTGTGTCCCAGGTACACCACTTGTGCTTTTCAAAAGGAAGACCTCTCCCTGTTCAGCTTGACTCCATTATCGCGGAGGACCTGCAAAACCTGACGAAGTCTTTAACCATCGTCCCCATTCTCCGCGACCCGTACATCATCCAGATACACTTGTACTATTGATATACCTTGTAGCAGGGTTTCCATTCTCCTCTAGAAAATGGAAGGGGCTGATGCCACGCCAAGTGGTAGACGGTTGTGACAGAACAATATTTTGTGCTTGTTCAATACTTACAACCTCCTGGACTCCTCATCTAGAGTAACTAGATTGTAAGCTTCCAGAAGGTCCAGCGTGTTGAAGCAGTCACCACCATTCAGGGAAGCGAAAATGTCATCGATCAGTAGTAACGAATACTGCTTCGTCGGACATGCCTTGTTTACGGTGAGCTTAAAATCAACGCACAGCCTTCATTTAGATTAGACCCGATCCTGGTTGAAATAGTTCTTGGTATTTTGCCTAGTCCTCATCCAAGTCTCCACGTTCAGTCTTTAAAGAGAAAAGTTGAGCTGGAAGAAGGCCGAACGCTCGAATAACATCGCGGCCAACCAGACTTGGTCCGTTGCATCCCAAAACGGTTAGCTCCGCGTTCGCGTTACGTCCTTCGTTACGGACCTTCAAACTCAACTTCGCGTTGACGGGAATGTTGCCAACTTGGCATGACAAGCTTAATGCGGTGTGTTGCAAACGACGCCAGTTTGCGTTTTTCTCTTAGCATACTCTTTTCGGAATGGTGCAGACCGGGAAGCCTTTGTCCAGTTCCCATGAGCAGTTCAACACTGCACCACGGGAACTGCCGCTGAACTTGCGCAATCAGGTTGATCGTGCCTTGTTGATGTGGTCGCGGAAAAATGATATCAATACCGCCGACGTCATTAGACTTCCAAAAAAGACGTTGCCCTCTGCAGCCGATGTTGTCTTGCGTGAAGTACTGCGCTGCGCAACATGTCCAACCTTGCCACAGCCAAAACATGTCTTTTTCCAAAACCCGTTGTCACTGGGTAGGTGTCAGGCTCTATCACAACGGTTTTAGAAATTTGATATTCTCATCTTCCCGTGAACCTTGCTTGAAGCTTGGGTTTGAGAACCTCGGCTCCCTTTCGGCTGTCATAATCTCTAGTCCTCCCTCTGCCTTCACCATTCGAGTGGCGTCTTTCGTGGCCACCTCTCTTCCAACAGCGATACCCACTGCGAATCCAACGTCAGGTCCCGGCGTGGCAATAAAGTGTGTTGCAGCTTCTCGTTGTGCAGCCGACAAACAATGCGGTCACGCAACATGCGGTCGGGCAGCAACCCGAAATTGACATTGTTCGCGATGTGACGTAAAATCACCAGGAAATCGTGAACTCTCTCATTACCTCATTGTCAACGATTTTAGAAATGAAAACTCTCTGCTATCTCAGTTGGCTTAGGTGTGAAGTAACTATCCTTGTGCTTGACAGTCGCGTCATAGGTTAGCTCAGACACGTTTGCAGATAAGCAAGTCGCGGATAAGACGCTGAGAGCGTTCGTTCCTTCTGCCGAGACTAGAAGATCTCGCCTCTGAGCTGCAGACGTGATTCGATTTCTTTCGAAGTCAGCTTCGACTCTAATAAGATACGATTCACACTTGTCTGCGACATCGTCCAAGGGAGGAACGCTGTAAGCCATGCCTAAGCAGGTTACCGGTGGTGGCCCGCCGATCAGGGGACCGTTTCCTGCGTGGTCATCCGCGGTCGTCGCAAATGGAGCAAAGTGCTAACCGAATCGCCGTTATGGTGATATGTAACACTGCTACTGTGAAGCCAAAAGAACGAACGTGTTTATTTCATGATGTCGGAATTCAGATCGGCGCTGCTCGTGCTCTCGGCGCCAGAAGAACGACCGTCGCCATCGTCGTCTGGTCACAGTTCCTAACAGTAACGAAGTTAATAGTCAGCGCCTTGTCTTGTGTGTTGTCTTCTCTGTTTTCTTATTTTTCGCGTTGTTGTTCATCATGAAACCGTGCAGATAAAGTAAATAATAAAATAGTGAAGTACTAAAATGTGTTAATTACCCAATTATACTTAACGCTAATCATATTATTTAATGGAGCATTTGTCACGACCCACTACTGCTTCAACCTTTTTTCGCGCTATGCGTAGTTTTTGGAGGAACTATTTCACCCACGTTTCTAAAGACATCCTGGGTCTAACGCGCTGGTGATTTATCAGCGAAAAAGATCAAAGTACACAGTTTGTGATATCGTGAAATTTGCTGGAGATGCAGCTTTAAGCATAAATAGTCCGTGAGTACATTACTCGTAATCTCGTGATTAAAAAAAAAATCCCTACGTGACTTACCGATGCGATAACATATTATGTACTTATTTTTTTTTTAGGTCAGACGCTTCATTATTACGATTATTTGCAGTGTTCATAGAAGGTAGAACTATGTACATTATTTTTTTTTCAGTCACAGTCATGGGAAATCTGGCCATCGTTCTTCTACTAGTGTCCATTGTGTCAAGTTGTAAGTTTGTATATTTTTGTTTTTTATTCACGTATTTTGTGTCGTGAAGGGTAATCTAGAGTAAATTTTCGACGTCGAAATACCAAGCCTATAAAATGCACTTGTGTGTTATTAGGGGTAGTGCGTTTGAGTAGATTGCGTTTGTGATTCGATACCATTATCCGATACTTCGATAGAATTAGGAGAGTGAGTTGGTTAAACATCTTGGTAGGCGTACGAAAAAGGAGACGAGTGGGACACACAAAAATACGCCAGACACGAACAGTGTTCAATTCGCAGGAGGTTTATTATCTTTTGCGGCGTGCAGAGCCCGCGTGATCTTGAGAGCGCTCCTGCCGGCTCAAGGTCACGCCCATTGCTCTCTCCCCCAACCGAGGCTTTCTATCTCCTTCTCCAGAAACCAATCCTCCTTTCTGCTGAAATTAAGGGATTCGTGACTCACACTGTTGCCCATAGGCCCAGACTACGGAGGGGGGGGGGGGGGGGGCATCGGGGCTCCCCCTTCCCCACCCCCACCGGCCATGATCCTTACCGAGCATACCGAGACGCTGTTCACGTGCCATGTAACGAGCTTGTAGTAGTGGCATGTAAACAAAATAACGCCACGTTGCCTTTATTGACTAAATTCATTGGTAATGGAATCCTAGCGTGCTTCCGTTAGCTTCAATCTCCAGTTCTGGCGAGAAGGTAACGCGGCATCGATCACTTTTACGTCCGCTTGGTCTGCTTTCATAGCAGCCTGCCATCTTGCGACGATATCCCACCAGAAAAAAAATAAACAAAACAACCGGAAGTTCCTATAGAGGGCGCCTACTTCATCCAGAGCTGTTCAAAAAGTCCGTTTAGTAGCGACTCCGACTGATTCGCTATTAAAGATTTCAGATTTGTGCTTGCCGGCGTGTGCACCGTGGTGTCGGCGATGAACACATGGTACACGCTCGCACGGTGATCGACATTGACACACAGCGACGCACACATGGCGATATATATATGCTGTAAAATGTACTCCGTAAAATAAACTACTGATAGTTGCCGATGTACAAAACATTGCGCAGAAAAACACCCCCCCCCCCCCCCCCCCCCCCGGAGAACTTCCTTTTCTTTTTGATAGATGCACAAAGAGTCTCCAATTCGTTCTTTTTCAGTACTTCGCACACCTTCTCCTTAAGCTCTCAGGAAGGGTTCGATCGTTTTTCAGGAAAGCTTTTCTTGACCGCTCTTAAGGATTCTTTATTATGCATTCCATCACTCAACACTACTAAGTCTCCTTCCTTGTTTGATTGAAGTAAGCGCAGTTCAAAGGACTTTAGCTCACGAATAGCGTTGAGGTTGCTTCTGACTTTTTTTGTTTTTCATCATAGATCACTCCTTGAATACTTAAGCGCACCGCTGAGGTCACGAATTGGTCCCTCTCGGTCCCTGGCTCCATGATTGACGCTCGATGAATAGTCGCCACTACACGGATACGAGACCGTCCCACGGCTGGGTTGAACTTCGGTCCTTCGTTGAGGACTGTTACAGTTTGGGGTGACAGATGCCGGTTGGAGGAGTTGAGAAAACCTGCAGGCCCTTGAGGTTCCCCGACATCACCTGCTTTCGTGTGGGTTGGTAGTTGTGTTTTTATAAATATTTTCTATGATGATTCAAAGAACCCCAATAATCTGGTCTCCAAAAATGCGTGCCCTTTTGTGCGTTTCAATGAGACACATATTTTTCGCTTCGTAGATGCTTACCTCATAATGCACACAAATGAAATTCAGAAAAAAAAAAAAAACGCAACTTCATATTTTCAGATGCAGTCGCTGAGATTACACTTCACTGACGACAAAGAAAACGAAGTACTACAGTTCCTAGTTCTAAAGTTAAAAAGCAAAAAACAAAAAACAAAAAAACTAAGACATGCTGGATCTACGAGCAGAGAACAAATGAACCTTTACTTCCGTTTAAAAGTTCGCAGTCAAAGACATTTAAACAAGGAATAATTAAGTCAATCATGGTCATCATCACTGATAAAGTCATGTCCTCATCATGGGGAGGACAGCCGAAAGAACCAAGCTCTGCGACTAAGGAGCGCAGGGTACCCCGCATACCTGGGAAAAATGGTGGCCTCTCGGCTATTAGCAGACAAGAAAAGTGAAAAGGAAACAGAAACACCCAAGGAGATTTCTTACCCTTCTGTGCCCTCACAGGTTCTTTCACCACATCAAAACACTGTTCTCTGATGATTACAACGCACTCTTCACGTGTAAGAAAAAACTTTCAAAAATCATACAAAAATTTAATGAAGAAGATAGCCTAGAAAAGAAATGCCAAAAGAAACACAAAGAAAAATTTGGCGACTGCGAAGAGAAGGCAGTATATAGGATTCCACTGCCTTGCTGCAAGACTTACATTGGGCAGGCAGGGCGTTGTCTAATATAAGATTAAAATAACACATATTGGCTTTCAGTAACAGAACCACACCCAAAAGTGCATGTGAATAGCTGCGAGGGATGCAAGCCCATCTTTAACGAAGCGGCAGCAATCAAAAAGCACCCTCACTGGTTGGGACGGGAAGTGGGCGAGGCCTTCCTCATACAGAGAAGCGACAACAATATGAGTAAAAAATCGCTTTATTTGAGCAGAAAAGGTGAAGGGTTTTTTCGAGCATGAGATAGGGAGCTTCGGTCCGGGGAAAGGGGCAACAGGGATGAGAAAAACCTTGAGGCGGCAAGGACGCTGTCAAGATCACGCGGACTATGCACGCTGCAAGAGAGAATAAACTCTTTGCGAGTTGAACGCTGTCCGGATCTGACGTGTTTTTGTGTGTCCCTTGTCTCCTTTCGCGTTCACATACCGAGATCCGATACTTCGTTTTTGGCTTTGAGTACGCGGGAAATTTTTTGATTGTATATCGTTATTGAAGCTTCCCGTGGACATTTAGAAAACAATACGATATAAAAAAAAGTGCTTTAAATAGTAAATGCAAGCATTGACATCGGCGCTTATCTCCAAAGCCATATAATGCATAAAATGCAGGATTTGAAAACAAATCGTTTAATTTTGTTTAGACGGCATGATATGGTCGTTTCGGGCAGTAAAAGACCCTTACTTCTACAAAAGTTCACGATCAATATAAAAGGGAAACCGAGTACTAAGTTGACGTAGCATAAATTTTCCCGCTAAGTTTAGTCAGAAACAGATCGCGTGACGTCGTCATGTGACATCGATTTTTCCGGTAAATGTAACGAAAAATGCACAAACGGAGGGATGCAATAAATTTTGGGATGGTAGTGCACCGTTAGAAATCAGTTTATGCTTTCATAAGCAGTCTAACTCTTCACAATCATAACTACGAGAGAATAATTAGAGCACGAATAGGACAATAAGGTTATTGTAGGCATCTCAGTACTGAACGCTCGCCAGCACATTATCCATGAATGTCGAAGATACAAACTAAAACCAGATTATTCCTTACAACGGTGTCATTGTCAGTGAGAAAATAAAAATACTTCTCGGCAGCAGAGAGCATTTATTTCTATCTATAAGTAGGGCTCGTTGGTCGGTGAACTTTCTTATTGAAATGTTCGAAAATCGTGTATAAATTTTGAATCAAATGACGGCAAATCCTGAAACGTTGGCATCTGGTCTCAGTCGCTAAAACTATACTTGGGTGGCGAGTGCAGACATAGCGTCCTTCAATGTGTATATATATGTATATATATATATATATATATATTTTTTTTTTTTGTGAAACACGCGGTTTTTATTTCTTCTTGAACACCCAGTGCTTTTTATAAACTCCTTTGCCTTAGATTGGTGTGTAATCATGTTGGTAAATGTTTTCAAACTGTGTAACCGATGTCTCTAAACATTATTTATACTTTTTTTTTCGAGAGATATGTACCACGTTACTGCCTCAACTTCTGAGTTTGTCTTGTTTGCGTTTTCAGGTGTGGCTTATCCTGGTAAGTGTCATTCAAACCCATCTCCACCTTTATACTTCGTCTCATCCTACGATGGACTAAAGGGCAAACCTACGGGCCGCCGGATCCAATCACGTTCCACGCTAAACTATGGCATGCTTAACATTGATTAAGGGTGGACGAATAATGCTCCTAATCAAAATGCGCTGCACCATTTCTATAGCTTCGACATTGCGAAGAACCTGTATGTCGTGGCTTTCTTTGCAATGTAAAATTGATGAGTCGCTCAGTAACGTTCATCGCAGCGAAATACCAGGCGATTTCCAAGTGGCTCGTGATTGGATCTGGTGGTTCGAAGCTTTTGCCTTTAGTCCATCGTAGGGTGAGACGAAGTGTAGTGTATGGTTCGTCACACATAAGTTAAGCTCCACACCACCGGGGTGTTAAGAAACTTTAATAGTCTAGAAGTACATTTTATTTCAAACTTAAATATTGTAGGCTAGAAAAAGATGGATAATCTGGCATGTAAATGCAAGTGAGGACCGGTCTCCCTCGGCGTCAAATATGGCGACCCCCGTGAAGCGGGGGAGGCATGTGGTGACTCGCTCTCCCAGTTCAGACTCTGGACTTTCTACTGCTGTCGCTTGGGAGTTGCCGGAAAAGAAAAAAAAAAGAAGTGGTGCGAGACTTTTGGTCCGTTCACACTGGAAGCGGACATCCGTTTCCAGTCGAAACGCTCGTTTTCAACCAAAAAGCGGCTGGGATCGCGTGGATTTGCCTGTCGCTACGGGACCGATTCCTCCCATCCGCTTTCATCAAACCGCGAAGCACGAACAAATCGAAACGGGGCAGGCTGCCGTGAGGTCCGTGACTTTCGAAACAAGGCGACACCAGTCGATGGTCAGACGTCCTATAGTCTCTGACAAGTCAAGAACAGTCCCGAAGCTTCGCCCACAAGCGTAATCCACCCGTTTGAAGTTCCTCCGCTGTCGAGAAAGTGGTGACCTGGAAACGACGCTTTTTGAGTTCAACAAAACTCTTTTAGGTGCGAAGAACGCTGACGATGTTTTGGTTTGATCTACCAACCTGTCTTTAGAGAATCTCTTCAGAAATAAGTGGGTTAAAGCGCTCCGGAGTTAAAGTTGTCTTTAGAAAAGCCGAGGGACGGTTACATACGATACCTGAGTCTTCAACTTGAAACTAATGCCGGCCTTTGTAGAGAATATGGAAAGTACGCAGTAAACCTCCTCATCATTCAGTGGCTGCCACTCAAATCATGTAAAAGTAGAAATAATTCGGAACCTTGCCAATGTAGCAGTTCAAAAGTCAAGTTTTCATTCGATTAGTTAATCTCCTAATCGACTTATATAGCGCTTCATAATTGCAAGTCATCCTCGGGAGTATATTTTTATATTTTGAGACATTGGTTCAAAAGAGTACTTAACCTTCGAAGCGAGTAGTCTTTCCCGACTTTCGCAGAAAATTTTGCATCAAAACACTGGCCAGCACGCTTAATGTTCGCATTTATTTGTTTCAACAAATACAGGTTTTGCGAAGAAGCACAGGGAACATGATGGGTGTTCCCATTATGTAATAGGTACCTCTTGATTGTGGCGTGTCCTGGGTTTTGAGTGGTGGTGACCTTGAATGTTTTTTTATTGAAGTGATCAAGGAGAGTATGTGACGTGGCCTTCTGTGTTTCGTTTAGGGATGACGAACAAAGTCACTCCGGTGTAGAATAGGGCTCTAGCGTTCGCTGAGCGAGAGTTAAGAGGTGTGGGAGAGGAAATGTTTGTCTTGAGGTCTTTTGTTTCCTTATGGTGGTCCCTCAAGCCGGGGCCACACAGCTCATGCACTATACAAAATACAGTCTGCAAACACGACTCACCGCAATATCCGTTGTTTGAATGCCGCCTGCCAAGTTTTTTTTCTTGAACTCATTGCCAGCAGTGTGATCCCGTCTTTAGGATTCAGTTCTGGAGCTTTCTGTTCAGTTTGGTATCACTGCCTAGTCCGGAGTTGCTTGCGTCTGTTTGAGCAACAAACGGTGGGTCACGATCCGGCAGCTGTAACAAAGTGGCGTCGTTTATCGCCTTTGAGAGCCAATGGGAAGCGTCTTGTTGTTCTTGTCCCCAACGCTACGTTGCTCATTTGCGCAAAGCAGATTCAAGGGATTAGCGATCTGAGCGCTGTGTGGGATAAACCGGCGATAAAACCCAGTCAATCCTAAGCAGTTTTGCAAGCTTTTGACGTTGTGTGGCTGCGGGTGCTCGGCTTTCGCACTCAGCTTATCCTCGTTAGGACAGAGAACTCCGTTGCCCACTACGAAACTAATAATGTTAATCTTTGACAAAGCGAGATGCATTTTTGTAGGGTGATCCATAGAGTTATTATAATGTACGCTAGAGGTTCAAGTGGCGCTAGTGTGCTGACGCAAATTGAAGCAGACAGCAACCAGTCGAAAAATGACTTCCGGTAATGCATTTCTATGAGAAAAAGTGAGTGCATTTTCTCCCTGCGCTTGATCATAAGAGCAAATATCGCAAATAATTCGTACGTACTAGGTAGTTTGGAACATTTCTCAGTCAGGCTGACGAAAGAATTGGTCAGTTACGGCGTTTTTCTCTCGAATTCATCGCACTAA